CCTGTAGTCTTCGTCACTTTTCAGGCTCGATTTCCAGTGAAGTCTGCAATCTTCGAAATTCGAAACGAAGTTCAAGTCTGCAATCCTCAATTTTCAGACTTGCTAAAAGTCTCTTATGTCTCAAAGGTTTACTAAATTTCAACAGGTGTACGTATTTAGAGTAAGAGCTGCAAATATTGTTCAACGTTGAATTGTTTACCTCCATCATATTATACAGGTAAAACTTATCACAAGGATTTATTTTGTCCAATGAAACATCGTATTAATTTCAATTGGACGAAACACCTTGGCCGATCGATGGTCATTTGGCCGATCAATGGTCGATCACGTTATACTTGACAGCTATTACGTACGCGTACAGTCATCCCACGATTTTTGGAGCCTGGTACTAGTATAAACGAATATCCTGTGTAATCCCATCGAATTTTCAATTTAACAGGCTATTAGACCTCTTGTTCACTTACAAATTTCTTGATCAGTGATTGCCAATAATACTATACAGTACATCAATATATATATAGAATTAAAATAAGCAAATGTGATAGGATTGGCTAAAATCGAACTAACGTTGTAAATGACGAAGAGATTGAACAAATGATCAAAGACTGCGTCATTGAAGAATAAAACGATTCAAAAATAATATGGCAACGCTATTCCACATTTACAACCTATATGACAATATCCTACACAACTGAGAGTGAATATCTGCTGCGACTCTACACCAAATACCTACTCCGAGTAGCGCGTAGTAAGTCACAATCACTTTTTTGAAGAAACCCATGGACTCCTTTGCTATCGTGTCGCGTCTCCAACAAGTCGACGACGACGTTCAAGCATTAGACCTCTTGTTAGACGAGTTGAGCCAAGTCTACCACGCTCACTCCTAACATGTCGAGGAGGCCGATGACTCCCCCACTGGTCTCAGTGAGACTCGAACCCGGGGGATAGCCATTGCAGAATGCTCGTTTTGTGTCTTGAGCTACAGGTTTCTTTAGAACTTTGAACAAGAATGGAATTTCGCGGTGGTGTCATCACCAGGGAGAACGTTCGTCCCTACAGCTACATCAACTGATGCAAATACTAGCCCCTAAAGTACATCTTTTGGTGGGCCCTTGATGGTTCAAATGTTCCAAACTCTAAGTGAACAAGAGGTCTATTATACGTACTAGCATAGACCTCTTGTTCTGTTACCGTTTCGTGGTTTTCAAAATCATACGTTTTGTTGTGATCGTTCAAATGATCAGTTCGGCAATCGACAACGAATTGATTCAATAACATAAATAATAGTTAAATAAATGAGCACTTATACTGTACACATCTTAGTCAATGCCTTGATGGATGATCACTAATCAGTTCTGACTTGAAACTTCGTCACTGAACAAGAGGTCTATTGAATACTTCGAAGTAATTAACACTGGGAGATAGTAGACCTCTTGTTCAACTAGACCTCTTGTTCAGTGACCAAGTAAATGAGGTGCTATTAATAGCACCAAGTCATATCACGATAACATCAGTGTTGTCCATTAACCATGCGAATCCTGGCAAAGTGGTTAACTCTACATACACGACGACATGGCTGTCGGAACAAATTCGAGCACTGCATAACAAGCTAGGGCGTTGTTCGATGTTTCTACAGTAATATTTAGAGCGTACTTTTGATATTGGGCGACCACATTTCACAAAACGTGTAGGTTATTCGGATGGTTACGATTAGTTTGTGCTGATCAAATGAGATTAATCTCCTTATCTAGTGTGAAGATATATATACCCCTCCAAGTCAACTCATATACGTACTTCCGTAAAACTATACTACTGTTCTAACGATACAGTACATGTATAGGCAGGTCCTGTAACTATAAAACGTGACAGATGGAATTAGCTAATGGGTAATTTATAGATAGGGGGCACCATACCACTGAAACAAATTCCTGACGAAGGCCAATCACAACTGGTCCATGGGTCTACGAGTACTGTACTCGGTATGCTTACAACTCCACATGCTGTCTGTCGTTCATATGCCTCATCGAGATGGATTGGTGGATGCACCTTGGTCAATGATGTTCCCGGTTGATTGCGTTGGTTGCACGCCTGGTCTTCGCCTCAATGGTTGACATTTTTGGCCGACTTCATTTTCCTTTTTGCTCTGCGATGGTCAAAGTCCTCATCTCCCTCAGCTTGTTGGCCGATGCCGTTATGGCTGGCTCCATCACGGAACTCCCCGAGTCTGTGACCAAGCTCATCGACTACCGCACAGACCCATGCGACGACTTTTACCAATATGCGTGTGGCGCGTGGTACAAGGATGCTGTGATACCCCCGGACGAACACGAAATCGATACATCGTACAACAAGATACACATCCAAAACCAAGCCTTATTGAAGAAGATTTACTCTGACAACAAGCCCAAGCTTGGTGAGTTTTACAACTCTTGTTTGGACACGGCTACGCTATCGTCGCTCGGCCTGACTCCGCTGCAGGACTCGTTCAAAGCCATTCGGTCGGCCAACACCACGTTGGACCTCCTCATCGTGGCTGGTGAATTGGCCAAGAATGGCATTCCTGCCTTCGTGGACATCAATTCCAAACCTGACGACAACGACTCGACCAAGAACGCCCTCTTCGGTTTCCGAGCCCCCCTGTCGCTGGATCGCGAGTACTACACCGTCCCTTTCGAGTGGGGGTTCGTCGAAGCCGACTACAAGGTGTACATTGCGACGGTGTTGCAGCTAGCTGGCTACTCTCCTGAGCAAGCGGAGGCTGCCGTGCCGGTGATCATCCGTTTCGAGCAAACTCTGGCTGGTGTCGCACTAAGCGAGCTAGAGGAGATGGAGGCCATTGTGTCCCCGTATACGGCGTTGACGTACTACCAACTGGACCAGAAGTACCCGCTGCTTGTCGGATCGTGGCTTAAGGCCAATGGCTTCAACGTCCGCGATCAGTGCGGTGGGTCGAACGACTGGGTGGGGTTTTACGACTTGACCTACTTTGACAAGACCGAAAAATTGTTGATGAACACGACGCTGGACAACCTCCGCACCATCGTGGAGTACAAGCTAATTCACGCCTCGTCAAAGCACTTGACCCCTGAATTCCACACGGCCAACTGGAACTTGTTCGGCAAGAAGATCGATGGCGAAAGTGAGGAACCTTCTCGACCAAAATTCTGCAGGGCTGAGTCACGCTCCACCGTGGGGGATCTCTTTGGCCAGTACTTCTTAGACGAGGTGTGGTCGGCTGATACAGCCAAGACGGCCGACGACCTGGTCAAGGCCTTAAAGTCGTCTTTCTCGACTGGCATTGCCACCACTGACTGGTTGGACAACTCGACCCGCGCCAACGCGCAAACGAAGCTGTCCAAGCTTGTACACTTGTTGGGTGGCCCGGAAAAGCCGCAGCTATACCCCACGCTGACGTTTGACTCGAAGTCGTATTTGAACAACCGGTGGAAGGTGTCTCAAGTGAACATCGACACCAACTTAAAGCTGAACGGCCACCCTGTGGAAAGGGTTATTTTCGGCTCGCCCACCCCGGATGTGAACGCGTACTACAGCCCCCACTATAACCAAATTACATTCCCGGCCGGTATTTTGCAAAAACCATTCTTTGACGGCCATTTTGACGCTGCCCAGAACTTTGGTGCCATCGGGGCGACAATTGGACACGAAATTACCCACGGGTTCGACAACATCGGCCGCGATTTCGATGGCGACGGAAACTTAAACCCGTGGTGGTCGAACGCCACCAACGATGCGTTCGAGACAAAAGCACAGTGCATTAGAGACCAGTACGCCAACTTTGTCGTCTGGAGCGACGAAACTGGCGCTGTATTGGGCAACATCAACGCCGATATCACTTTGAGTGAAACCATTGCAGACAATGGGGGGCTGAAGACCAGTTTCCGCGCGTACCACGAGTACTTGAAGGAGTTCCCGTCGCAGTACACGGAAGAAGCAGGCGACAAGTTGTTCTACTTGTCGTACGCCCAAGCCCAATGCTCCAAGAACACGGATGTCCGCCTTCTCAGGTCTTTGAGGAAGATCCATCCGCCCGGTCGGTACCGCGTGACAGGGGCGTTGCAAAACAACGCTGAGTTTGCCCGTGTGTTCCAGTGCCTCCCCGACTCGTACTTGAACCCGTCCAAGAAGTGCTTATTGTGGGAATAGGTTTGATCGATACGAAAATATATGTATGGTGCACAACTATTCTTGGCCATCATCACTCAATAATGATGCTGGCTGGAGTCCCTCGGTAAATGACACTTCCAAGCCATACAAAGGCGAGAATTGTACGCCTACAGTCGGATTGGAGCTTACTACTGTAGTTGGATTCTCGCCCAGCACCAATGAAGCGGTACCATCCTACCCACTTGCAGCATCATGTTTCGGGGTTTCGCCCACGAGGTCGACGAAAGACTTCACGTCATTCTTGTGCCGGGACAAAGTAGTGAGGTCCTTCGAGAGTATGTGAGGACACCGTGTTCAGAGCGACATCCTTCTACCACAAATGACATATTCGTGAGACTCTAATGCGATTCACCTCGCCATCCCAGGCTATGGTACCGGTATGATCAAACAAAACACAAGCGCATCCGGTTACACCAGAAAACCCACCATTTATGCGGATACAGCAAATGGGGAATCCGCTGTAAAATTGGCAAATTTTACAGCGGCTTTAATTATTTATAACAGGTTCAGTTCTATCCTTATCGAATTTGAGAGGATATGTTGCGGATAAAATAGAACTGACGTATTGTGCACGTCATCTATAAACTACCAACTTTTCACAAAATTATCTGACTTCTATTTCACACGTAGTATTCAATACTCAAATTTCCAGCAAATTGAGACGTAGAATCGACAGATTTCAATGTGGTGAAGAAATTCTACGTCTTAGATTCAAATTTGGTGAAGAATAGGTCCAGAAATAGATATTTAACCTAGCGATATTTTACATGGGCTGGATACTTGCTCGGCCATAGGGGTTGCCGCTGATATCTATCTTGATTTTTGTATGTGCCTTTATCCGTATACAGTTCATCCAAGAACTTCCAACTGGCCAAATCGAAGAGTGGAGGTTTTATTATTTAACGTATCATGAATGTAGTTAAACCCAAAATCAAATACGTTAAATACCAATTTCATGCGTTTTATCTCTTCAGTGGGAGGTTAAAGGGATCCAACTGCCCCCGGGTAACCACGTTTGATTAGATAACGTTTTCTGGATAAAACCAATTTGCAGCAGACGATTTACGAAATTCGCACTGCACAATGTTGCAGCCTATCTGGGTTCTAAATTTTAGGTTGCGGATAGAACAGGCGTTTGCGAAATCTGTCTAATAGCGTTGTGCATTCGTAAAAGAAAGAAAACGATGTTGAGGTTGAAATGCGTTGTTGTAATCGACGGTTTGGTACGCGCTCGACATCGGGTTCGTAAGGTTCGGGTTGATATTTTGAATTCCCCTCCAGTCATAACGAAATTAGATTCACACACAACACATATGGCCGCTAGCACATGTAGATAATCGTTGATAAAACTGGTCGCTTTCACACATAACCAACCAGTCGACTTCGCACAAAACTTGTCATTTTCACAATAATCTCATCACAATAATCTCATCGTTATCACCACAATTCACACATAACATGGGGCGTCGTCACAATCGTGTTACGTTTAATAAAGGCTTGTAAGTATGGATTTTTCCTGTTAAAAATCTCGGCAGTTGCTGGCCGATGGTGGAACTCTCGTACTTCCCTGCGCTCTTGCGCAACAACCGATGGTGGAACATGGACAGTTACGAGAACGAGAAGCACCTCCGAGAGCCATTGTTGTGTGACTCATCCACCGAGGACAGCATCGAGTCCGACGATGATGGGGTCAGTGAACGACACATGGCGTACAAGAGTCACGTGGTAGTGATGGTGGAGCCCAAGCTCATGCGGTCCGAGCGACTGCTGCGGTGTTTTCGCTCCCGTCGTTATCCGGACAGGAACCTCTTGCTGAGGCCGAATTAAATTGCAAACTGAGGTCTCTTACTACGAGTTACTTTTTCTGGTCTATTTTAAGTCTAATCATTTCGTCCAATGAAAGTGCGCCAACAATGCGCATCTTTCAACCGCACGACAATGGCTACAACCGCACGACGAATGGAGGCCTGCTGCACATAATGAAAACTAACGGCCTTACCGATCATGAGACCATGAGCCGACCTCTAACAAGGCACATAGTTCTTTCTGCTGCGCCATGCAGAACACTTTCCCTTAAAGGGAGTGTCCGAGGGACTTCTCGAGTTCCGCGGGAATTTTCTTCACTTCTTCTTGGTCTTCATGTTGGTGAACCCAGCGGCGGAAAACGATGGGGATGTCTTCATAGAGGGAGCGAACGGGCTCCCATGAGGCTTCGTCTTCATCGAGGCCAAGCCAGTAGACAAGGGCTTGGTATTCGCCGTTATCTTCGCGGACGTCGCCGAGTTTGGCCACATGAAACCCTTCATTGCTAAAGGAAATATGGTCGACTAAGTCTTCGGTCACATCGCGGCCGCCTTCGCAATACATCTTGAGTCGGCAGTCGTGGTGGAGGGACAAGTCGTAAGGCTGTCCAACTACGGGCCTCCATGACATAGTCAGTCACGACCCGGACGATCTTGCTTGGGCCGCGCCAGTGCAGGGACAATTTGTTGCCATGGCGGGACACTTGGCCAACGAGGACAAAGTCGCCGATCGCAAACTTCTGCAACTGGATGGCCTTGGACTTGGCTTGGCGGTCGCGGACTTGGTTTCGATTCTTGGCGCTTGACACTTCGTGGTGCAGCTGTTCTATCGCTTCATGTTACTCGTCCATGTGCTTCTTGCGCGTGGAGTCAATCCAGTCAATGTTGGCGACTTCCTTGACCACGGTGTTGACAAACGCTGACAGGGACGTCGTCGCAGGCAGGCCAGTAATGGCGGGACCATGCCGCTAAGTCGGTCGCTTGTCATGTGGTTCAATGCGCCTTGTACCAGGGCCAGGAGTACCAGTCTGTCGCGCGCATCTTCAACTCGCTGGTAAGTGTCTTGACGGCACGGAGGATCAGTCGGTTGACTACTTAACGGTTCCATTCGCCCAAGGACAGTAGGCGGTCGAGAAGTGGTGGTGGGCGCCGGTGGCCTTGCGGATCTTCTCGATGACTTCGTTCTTGAAGTGTGAGCCGCTGTCGGAGACCCAGGTATGGACATACCCAACGGTCGTGAACCAGTCGAGGGGGCCGTTGGCGGTCGCCGCGGCGTCGCTTGTCTTGCTGGGCCAAAGTAGCACGAACCTGCTCATGTCGTCCTTGATGACGAGGATCTTCTGCCACCCGTTCGTCGCTGTGGGCATGAATAGCAAGTCGAAGTGGATCAGCTCTTGGGGCTTCTCGGCATGGAGCGCCGATCCAAGCGGGCGCGGGACCACTGAGCCGTCGACGCTGAGGCAGTGGATGCAGGCTTGGACGAAAGTCTTGACATCGTCTTCGAGGGTGCTCCAGGCGAAGACATCGCGGTCGGCATTGGTTGTGGCTTCGATCCGTTCTCTGCCCCCTTCACGGCCACTTCTTGGGTCTTGACGATGCCGGCAGTGCTGGACCAGTCGAAGTTGGGCTGCTGCAGGGGCGACACCATGGCCAGGAGGCGCCGGACGGACTTACGTTGGCACTTGGGCTTGGGCAGCGCCCCAGCGGCTGAGTAGGTCGCCCCACACATTGTCTTCACCGGGCAGGCACTCGATGGTATAGGGGAACGAGGAAAGCACCAAGGCCCAGAGCTCCAACTTGTGCGCTTGGTACCTCGCCATGCTTGGGGACTGGCCGGCAGGATTAAAAATGTACTGTAGGTTCTTGTGGTCGGTGAAAAGGTGGAAGCCAGCTGTGCGGATAAGAAGGTAGTCCAGCCGCTTGCAGCTTTCCACAACGGCAAACGCTTCCTTCTCCACGATTGGCCAACGCTCGCTTGCGCCAGTAAAGGCATCGCTGAGAAAGGCCAACGGCTGGTGGCGCTGCTCCTCCAACAGCAGGGCCAGGTCTTCAAATGGTACTTGAGTGGCGATCGCGCCCCAAAAGCCTTCACTTGCGTCGGTGTAAAGGCAGACCATCATGTCTGCCCGTGGGTGCGTCATGGGAACCATGCCATGAGAGCTTCCTTGATCTAGTCGAACGTCCCAGCCAACGGCAGTGAGTTGGACCTGGGTGAGCTTCGTCTTCTTCGCACTTCCACTTTGCTTGGTCGCTGCGTCGAGGAGTTGGCGGAGCGGCGCCACAAGCTCGGTGTAGCAGGGGATGCTGGACCGCATCCAGTTGGTCGTGCACACGAACTGTTGCAGCCATGTGCTGGCCGTATCCAACGAAGTTGGGATCAGACTTCCAGGGCTGAGTACACCACCACGGCGACTGACAAGCCGTAAGAGACGTGCAAATGCTGAAGACCAGCACCATAATCAGGTTCGTGGCCTTCATCGTCGTTTGCACGTTACCTGATATATCATGTTGCTGGATAGCTAATTTGGTCGATAATACATTTTGTACATTTCGTATTTGTATAGCATACTACTTTTCAAGTAAAATAGTTTGGGACTCCATTGTGTACCGAACATTGGTGTGATATTATATTAGATCAGCTGAACTAGAGTAGAATTGTGTATAGAATGCCAATAAAATATGGTACTCAGAGCCACCATCTTAATGCCTGGAGTAGTTGAGTGAGATAATTTCCACCTTAGTCAAGATTAGATGCTTTTGAACTTGTCCATGCGTAAAGGGCAGTGGCCCATAATGATGTTTCACGCGCGCCAAGTATAAATGAAGTTAGCAAATTCTTGACTATTTGACCCCCCCCGGAGGAGTAACAGCGAACAAACGCTCAATGAGTACTCAATTCTGGACAGATCTAATTTTAGTAGCTACAGTTACGTACCCGTACTGTACGTCTTCCTAAGCGTACGATTCCTACGCTTAGGATCGAGTGCGCAGGCTCCGACGTAGTGGTGACGTGGGAGCCGAAGCGCGAGCGCCAGGTAAGCTTAGCACGATGTCATACTAGTAGTATGTCAACTGTCTCAAACGCGATGCATGAGAATACCTGTTTTCTAGTGATGTGATTGGCCCAATGTAACGTAGTGCAATATTCATTTCGTTTTCCCTATTTGCTTGAACAAATAGTTTCTCAAATTTAATTCCTAGGCATTTGTAAGAGAATTGAATTAAAACCTGGTCAATTTGTTTTCAACAAATCGAAATTATAATGCGTCGTGCATTACGATGCCGTTATTTTCGCCAATATTTAATGTCATTTTCTGGATTATGTGCCAAATTAAACGGGCACATGGCTAATTATATCGGGTGTACGACCAAATATATCGGGTGCACGGCCAAATACATCAGGCATTCGCCCAACTTAACGATATAATCATATAGTAACCAAACTACAACAGAAACAGGTGTCATCGCGGAGTCCGCGATTTGATTCAAGACTTCACTGATGGTCTTAACGTTAGAACAAAGCATCACCCACCGCCATCTGCCAGAACTGACTTAGGCGAAAGTAGAACGAGTACTTGTTCTCATTGTTGTAGCCCAAGAAGAGGACATTGCACGCGAAGCTGGCCATCATCACACCCTCTTGGCAGGTTAGTGCCTTGCTGAACGACAGCCGATTGATCACGGACACGAACAGCAGCCAAAAGATGTCGTTGTCGAGTTGTGAGTGGTTGAAATTAATATTCTTTTAGCCAACGAAACACTAAAATCGATGGCCTTCTAGCCCACAACACCTGATATCTGAGTTGGTTACAATCAAGAAACTTTGGAGAATAAAGCACTGTAGTACACCCGGAACAACTCCGAGCGAAATCCATGAAGGTCATTCAACCACGCACTGGACAATATGAGCCAAGTACCATAATGGAAGTTTGAATGAGTCCAGGTAGTCCTAGTCATGTCTCGCAGCATCCACGATGAAGTCACAACTTTGGGTGTGGTTTTATCTCAAACCTGCAGCACATGAATCACCTAAGATGACCGCCAAAGCCTAGTGAGACCATCTGTGAGCGTGCGCAGAGGAAGGCGCAGGAGATGGTAGAATCAAGAATGAATTGATCGCGTTAAGACTACTACACTATCACTAAGCTACGGGCAACCATCCTTGCAAGGAATCGGCGTCCGAGCCGGAATCGTGGCCGCGTTCAATTTGTTAAAGGCGTGTACAAGAAGCCATTTCCCACCGGGCTTGTTCACACCGAAGGTCGGGCTGCTGTGAGGGGAAATGCTCTCGCGGACGTGACCCGCCGCCTTGCGGGCCACGAAGAATGCGTCGATGGCGTTGACTTGGTCGCGAGGTAGCGGCCATTGCCGCGTGACGCAATACTTAGCGCCGGGTACGAGGTCAATCTCGTGTTGTACGCCCTTGTCGACTGGGAGTCGACACGGCACCTCGTCAGGGAAGGCGTCCTCAAACTATTGGAGGAGGTCATAATAGGGGTTGGACCTCAGGGATTCCCACGTCTGGGACTTAAAAAAAACAGCGAGGACCGAATCATCCGAAAAGAGATCCATCGCTTCTTCGACAGTGATCATCGCCAACGCGGCGATATTGTGGGCATGGAGAGATTCCACAAGAGATTGGAAGCTCATTTCTGGCATTGCCAGGGTCTCGGAAGACGTCCGAGGGAGTTTATTCAAGTAACACGTTTCTTCGATAAGAGTGGCCGCCAAGATCGAGGCAGCAATCGGTGGCGATAACGGTGCCTTTCCGATGACAACAGAGGGCCACTCTGTTGGGGGGACGGAAGGGGGTTTGTGCAGCACCGAGGCTGGGTCCGCTGGGACGGGCGCTGCGGCTAGTGAGCGCACGAGCCTGGAGCGGGGCGGAAAGGCGGACGTGATGCGCCATGGCGTTCGAGATTAAAGCGGTTAGGTGGACCGCTCGGAGGGCGACGCGAGTGGGTACCTGGCGCGGCAGGGGAGGAGCCGTGTGAGGTAGGCGCGGCTGATGCCACTTGGCGAGGTGCCGGACATGCGCGGGAAAAGTGTCCAGGCCGACCGCAATTGAAACACGTGCGGTCATCCGATGCCTGGGTGAGCATGGAGACAGACATGTCCGAGGAAGCCGCGCGTGCGTGCGCGAAGGATGAAAATGATTCTGAAAGCGCGATTCGGACAGCTTCTTCGAAGGTGTCCGGGTAGGCGTGAAACAGCTGGTGCGCGCCGGGCCTTGGTTGAGACCGTCCATGAATACGGTCAGTCACACATAGAGGCTCCCGGAGTGATTATTCATCATTAATATTCGCTGCCAAGAAACGAAGGACATGGATGAACTCTTGAAGGGAGCGTTTTCCTTGCTTGCATGCCAGATACTGCGAGCGATAACGAAAGTCGCTGTTGGGTGGCAGGAACATTGCCTTTAGTTCGGTCTCAAAGACCGCGAAGGACGGGAAGCAATGGCGGTCCGTCAAGCGTTTGGAGAACGCCCAATTGTCCGCACGACCCTTCAAGTGCAACATCGCGAAAGCCACGCGGGTGGTGTCGTCGGGGATACGCTGGGTGTCAGCAGCAAAGCTGACTTGTAAAAGTCAGCGAAGGAGCTTGTCAGACTCCGCTCCGCCGAATTTGGCAACATCCAACTTGATCATGAGCAATGCGCAGAGAATCTTTGAGGGTGTGACCATGTGTCGTCATAGTGGAGGCTTGTTTTTCCAAGGTTGCGAATTTTTCGCGAGCGACGCGGTGAGAGTCTTCAAGGTTGAGACCCCGTTTTTATCACACACTAAATAACGAAATACGCATGAACTTTCACGAGAACCACATAGAAAACACATGGGCTTCCAGCACCAGTATTCGTTTGGGGATGATCACAAGGGAGTATAATCATGTGTTTGTTTACGATACTGGCGTGTCATCAGGTACCCGTATGGTCAGTCACACACATGGTTAATTGAGTTTTGGGTTGGGACGCCTTGACTGAGTACTCTGAATAACTGTACCGGTAAGTTCAAAGATATAGTACTACTATGGACTGATAGTACTACTAGAATTAATGTGCACTGAATTCTCAGTGTAATTTAACACGAATCGACGCCAGCACCAACCACTACATTGACGACCACCACACTTGTCAATGTAGTGGCTGGTGGTTGGTGCTGACATGGCTGTGGCGTCTGCCGTCGCCATGTCAGCACCAACCACCATGCAGCCCCGCACACGAATGAACCACGCAAGGGGGTCGACCTATGAAATGAACGA